AGCCTCACCTCCGACCCCAGCCTCCCGCCTCCCGCCCTCTAGCCTCCGGCCCTCCAGTCTGTGCGCCTCTGGCCTTCAGGTTCTCCATCCTTTAAATGGGGAGCCCAAAGCCAATGTTCACACCTGTCATCCCGGCTACTCAGAGGCTGAGATCTGAGGATCAAGGTTCAAAGCTAGCCTGGGCAGAGACGTCCATGAGACTCAACACCAATTAACCACCAAGAGCCAGAAGTGGGACTTTGAGTCCAGTGGTAGAATATTAGCCCTGAGTGAAAAAATCTAATGGACAGTACACAGGCCCTGAATTCAAATGTCAGTACTGGGACAGAGACAGAAAAAGAGGGGGGAGAGGAGAGAGAGAGAGAGAGCAGCAAGGACAGTGAACGCAGGGAGGCCACCCACATCTGCTGCAGGTGATCTAGGCCCCTCAGAGAGATACAACTAAGTGTGACACCCCAGAGCTTGGAAAGTAACCCGCACGAGGGGAAGGGGTGCTTTGCTGATCAATGAAGCTCAGATGTGAGCGCCACCAGCCTGGATCAGGTGCTCCTGAGACCCGGGCCCTGGGTCTGGCTAGACGGGAGGAATGGCTTGTGAAGATGGAAGCCAGAGGCATCGTTGGGAGCAAAGCCTGGAAAGCCGCTCCCACCACACTCCGGCAGACCCAGAGTGCCTGCCAGCACCCAGAGCAGCGGGGGCCGGGCATCGGGAGCCAAGCAGGGCCGGGACCCCGGGCGGGGTGTCAGGAGCCGGGCAGGGCCAGGACCGGGGCAGTGCGTCCAGAGCCAAGCAGGGCCAGGACCCCGGGCCGGGTGTCAGGAGCCGGGCAGGGCCAGGACCCTGTGCAGCGCATCCGGAGCCGGGCAGGGCCGGGACCCTGGGCCGGGTGTCGGGAGCCGGGCAGGGCTGGGACCCCGGCAGCGCATCCGGAGCCGGTCAGCGCGTCGGGAGCCGGACAGCGCATCCGGACCCTGGCAGCGCGTCGGGAGCCGGGCAGGGCCGGGACCCGGGCAGCGCAGCCCTGCACACACGTTGACTGTGGCCTGGCCTCCCCATTCATTGGTGCTGTTTTCGGCCCCCCAGACCTCTCAGAGCAGGTGACTCCCCGCACCGCAGGGCACCAGGCCCAGGGCCGCTCCTCTCGCTTGAGCATCGTGCAACCGCCCGGGCCTGCTCTGGTGCCCCGGACAGCCTGCCTGCTGCGTCTCCACGCACCGCCATCGCCAGCCCCGCCGCCAGGAGCAGCGGCGGAGCAGCGGCTTCCTTTCAGAAGGCAGCAGCGGTGGCGTGGCGGCGGCGTTCCGTGGCTGTGACGGATCCCGAGTGCCCTGTCTCCTCACCGCCAACCGGTCCGCGGTGCCCTCCCCCACACCGCGCCCTCATCTCCCTCCGAAATGACTCCGGCCGGCCAGCAACACCCGCCCTGGCTTTTTTTTCTTCTTCTTTCTGATCCTGGGCCTTGAACTCGGCCTGGGCGCTGTCCCTCAGCTCTTCAGCTCAAGGCGAGCGCTCTACCACTTGAGCCACAGCGCCACTTCTGGTTTTCTGGTGGTTTATTGGAGATAAGAATTTCACTGACTTTCCTGCCCGGGCTGGCTTTGAACCACGATCCTCAGATCTCAGCCTCCTGAGTAGCTAGGATGACAGGTGGGAGCCACCAGTGCCAGCTTCCTCCTGGTTTTTTAACTGGATTTTCTTGGTAGAGGTGAGGACAAGGTTCTGCAAACCACTCCCCTCCCTTCTCTTCCCCAGTGACCTTGGGGTGCCCTTGAGCCCCAGAGAGTGATTGTTCCTCAAGGTGGTAAAACAGGAATGAAGTGTCTTTGTGTGTTTGTATCTTTCAAGCTCAAGTACACAAAGAACAGCCCATGCTGAGATGGCCTTTGTAGGGCTGTGTGCGTGTGTGCTTGTTGGCATGTGTGCGCACCCTTGTGTGCTCTGTGTGCTTTGTGTGTGCGTGCACCTATACATGTGTATGCACATCTGTGCATTCTCTGCCTCTGTGCATGTGTACGAGAGAGAGAGAGAGAGAGAGAGAGAGAGAGAATACCTCTCATTCTGCTCTGTTCTGTTCTGATGACAGCAGCCTGCAAACTCCTTTGGGGTCCCTCTGGTAAGCTCAGTCCTTGGCCGCCAGCTCAGGGAGCTCCAGCCTCTCAGCCAGCAAGCCAGCTGCCCAGGAGCTGCTGCTAAAGAGTCCCTGTGTTGACTCCCCCCCCCCACTGGGTCCCCTTTCTAACCCTCCCATCCTGAAGGAGACCCGCAGAGAAGGCTGTGCCCTGAGCGAGCAGCTCCTCCCCCAGCCTCCCAGGCCCTCACAAGCTTTTCTTCTCAAGCTGGAGGGTGGGACAGCCAATCCAGCCCCTCACCTGTAGCTGGCAGGACTCTGAGACCCAGCACCTACACGGGGGGGGGGGGGGGGAAGGGCAGGACGGAGGCTGCTCAGGGGCCCTGGTGTCTTGGTCTTTGTTGGAGCGACAGAAGCCCTGAACCGGCAGGGCTGATGTCACTTGGCACAGAACTGCGGGAGCCGGCACAGCGCCAGCCGGCCTGCCACGGCTCTGGGGGCTCAAGCGTGGGGTGTCTGCCTAGCGAGCATGAGGCTCTGAGTACAGACCTCAGTACCACCAGAAACATTAAGAACAATCCAATGATTTCCCAAAATTGAGCCTATAAAACAGCCCCGTTCACGTTCCCCCGCGGGCCGGGAAGGTCCTGCAGCCCCGCAGCCCCACAGCCCCACGGCCCAGGGGCGCCCACGCCGGGGCTCTGCAGTGTTTGATGGCTGCTCCCTGCGTCTGCGACAATGAAGGTGACCTTTAAGGCTGGTGCTCCCGAGCGCCTGCCAGCCAAGGTCTTGGAGCTCCAGCAAGGCCTCTGCTGCCACCTGGTGGTCATCCTGAGACGCACCATGGTAGGCAAAAGAACATCTAGTCCAGGCCTTGGGGGCTGGCGGGGAAGGGAATCTGGCTCTCAGCGGGGCTGCACACCTGCCGGCGGTCACACAGCAGGTCACCAGCAGAACAGGACCAGTGTGGCGAGGAAGACGTCAGCGATGGTGACGGTGACGCGGCGATGACGACGGTGACGGTCAGGATGAGAACAATGACCACAGAGTGACACGGATGCTCAAGGTGAAGAACAGTGCGGGGAGACAACCCTTGTCCCACAGCCACACAGGGTGTCTGCGGGCCTGGGCAGAGAAGCTGAGACCTGAGGCCAGGCAGCTGTGGTCTGGGGAGACTCCCCACACACCTGCTTGTCTGTACCTTCATCTCTAAGGACGAAGGATCTGTCTCCCGCTGAATCCACTCTAGGGACCTTGTTGTACAACTTGGAGTCATAATTCAGACATAGCAAGAACCAAGCAAGAACTGCAGGGGCACAAGACCTCGGGGCAGCCCCGAGCTCTGGCTGCAGCCAGACATGGGGTCACAGGCCCTGATGCCCAATCCGGCAGAGGGCGCAAGGTGCAGCAGATGTACACTGGAGCTGACCCAGGAGAACACAGCAGGGGCCAGGCCTGGCCCATTCCTGAGGCCAGGTCTCCCTGTCCTCCTGTCTTTCTGTCAAAGCAGGAGGGGAAGGCAGGATCCTGTGTGGAGGGAGGGGTGGGTGGGAGTCTAGAAAGTCCCAGGAAGTGCTATTGTGGACAAAAGGTCAGGCCAAAGAACAAAGCATTGCAGGCCTCATGTGGATATTTTGTGTGTGTGTGTGTGTGAGAGAGAGAGAGAGAGAGAGAGGGAGAGAGAGAGTGCTGTGGTGTTCACAGACACTGCAGGGCATGGGTGCACAGCGTGTCGCTGCGTGGTGCAGGGGTGTGGTGTGGTGGGCAGTGTTGTGTGTGATCAGCAGTGTGGATGGCGCGTGTGATGCGGGTGCAGGGGCGTCGGTGCCGTGTGGAGTGTGCATGTGCGTGTGCTGGGTGGGGTTTGTGGCCATGGTGTGGCCTGTGCGTGGCGTGGTGTGCGTGTGAGGCACAGGTGTCTGTTGCCGAGCGATGCCCACAGCACACTCAGTCACCACTCTGATGCTGCCCGCCCGCTGCCTGCCCGCTGCCCCTGCCCGTCAGGCTCCTCCGAACGCAAGGCCTCTGTGTGGCCTGGCGGGGCCTGGAGGCTGCAGCCCCACCCTAGGACCCCAGTCAGCCCCGGGAGATCTGTGAGGAGCCCCTGCTCTTGGACGGGAGGCTGTGCTGTCAGGTGTGTCCTGTCCCGGCTCTGGGGCCCAGGCAGGAGCCAGTGGCCCGCACAGGATGGCAGTTCTCCGGCACTTGGGCCCTGATCACTGCCATTGTTTCCCAGGGCCACTCTGGAGGGGGCAGAGACAGGGCCAGGCCTTGAGCTATGGAGCGGGCCTGAAGGAGAGTGCAGGGGGCTTGGGAACAGGACGTGATACCCCTTTTATCATCTCGTGGTGCTGGGATTGGGACCTGAACTCAGGGCCTCTGGCTGTCCTTGGTCTTTTCTGCTCTGGGCTGGTGCTCAACCACTGGAGCCACACCTCAGCTTCCAAAACCGAACATCGACCCCCCTCCCCCTCATCCTCACCCTCCCCCCATGGTCAGGCCCCTCCCCCAGCCCCTCAAGACCCTGTGGGGGGAGACAGCACAACAGGACCGCCGAGAGTTGCTTCTGTCACCTGCTCTTTATTGGCTGCCGGGGCTGCCTGCTCGTGGGTGACCGGGGTCCCCCGGAGCGGCACTAGGTAGAGGAAGGAGGGGGGAGAAGATGCGAGGGAGGGCTGCTGGGGTGCGTGGCCCCCGGGGGCGGGCTCGGGGTCGAGCTGGGCAGCGTGGAAGAGGACAAGGTCTCATCTGGAGAAGTGTGCGGCGTGGCCACTCCGCCAGCCGGCTGCAGGGGGCCTGGGACAGACCCCACACACACACACAGGGCAGAGGCCCCGCGCCCCACGCCCGAACCCCCCTTCCCTCCGAGAAGATGAAAAGGAAGTGAAGACTGGGAGAGGAGAGGAAGCAGGCGGCACTCGTGGCCCGGCCCGGGTCAGGGCCGCAGCGGCAGCCGAGCCCACAGCGACTTAGGACGAGGGCGCCGAGCTGGGCTTCTCCTCCCGAGACACGGGGATGGCCCGCTCGCTGTGGCCAGCGTCCAGACCCGACTGGACTTTGGGACCAGAGAAGGTCAGCATGCCGTCCACGGACAGGGAGCAGGACAGGGCCGACTGGTCCACGTTGGAAGGGAGGCGGTAGCGGCGGTGGAACTCCCGGGAGATGTAGCCGTGGTCGTCCTGGACGGGGAGGACGCGGTCAGAGCGGGGCCGGGCCTGGAGCCTGCCCTCCCCACACGGCGGCTGGGCCAGGCCGCCAGGCTGCAGGCGTCCTCGCCCGGGCTGGGCCAGGCAGCCCGAGAGCCGCTGCCAGAACCTTCCAGAGTCCCAGCTATGTCCTGACTCTCCCTGGCTCTGGGACTTCAGCCGAGAACTGGGACAGAGGCAGGGCCCCTGGCCGGTCCCGCCTGTGACCCCGCACCCGTGACCCCGCGCCCTGGACAGTCCTGCTGAAGCTGCTCCTGCCCGCATCAGCCTCCCCCTCCCTGTGACCCAGTCCAATGGGCGGTTACCCATAGCGCCCCTGGTGAGAAGCTCACTTCCCCTGAGTACCAGACTCCCCCAGATTTGGCTTCCTCACCCCCCCCCCGTCCCGAGTTCCTGCTCCTCCCAGAGCTTCATCTGAAAGCAGGGAACGGGGAGGAAAATCACGCCCCAGGCGGAGAGGGCAGCGAGAAAGAACCTGACCCCCAGCCCACGCCCCGCCAGAAGAGAGGAAGACGGCAGCCCGGAGCCTTGCACACGGGCCCGTCCCTGCTCCACGGGGGCCTGTGCAGCCCCAGGAGCCTTGCACACGGGCCCGTCCCTGCTCCACGGGGGCCTGCGCAGCCCCAGCAGCCCGAGGCCCAGGAAAGGCTGCGCGGAGCCAGCGTCCGCGCCCAGCCTCCCCTCACACCCCAGGGCCACCTCCACACCACAGAGCTGGGTGGCACCGCGCCTGGAAGAGCGCTGCCCTGCTGGGTACGAGCTGCAAGAGCCGCCGGCCGGACTCAGAGGCCGCGGGGGGCCGGGGGCTCCTGAGCCTGCCCTCTGACCGGAGGCTGCTTGTGGGAGCACACACTGGCTCAGCAGCGGTCAATTCCTGGGGGTCCTTCTCCCATCCAAGTACTAACCAGGCCCCACCTACTTAGCGTCTGAGACCAGACGACGTCGGGCGTCAGGGCACGGCTGCGCTCACCCTGCCGCCACCGTGTGCAAAGAGCCGTGGCAGGCGGCGCGATCTGGAGTCCCGAGACGCGGTCCCGACCCAGGCTCAGAGTCACAGAGACGGCCGCACCCCAGGGGAGAGGTGAGGAGGGGCCCAGCAGGGGCCAGAACTGCCCCCGGTCCCCGGCCCCTGGCCCCCGGCCCCTGGCCCACGGCCCCGGCCCCCGCCAGGCCCAGCTCACCTGTCTCTCGTTGTGCTTGCCGTGGATCTCCACGAAGTCCTCCAGCACCTTCACAGTGAGGTCCTCAGGGGAGAAGTGCTTCACATCCAGGAAGATGACGAACTTGTCCCGGTCAGACCGGACCTGAAATCCAGACCCTCGCATGGAGCTCCCCACAGGGCCGCCAGCTCGGGAGGGTGGCCGGTGCGTCCCCGCTGCGGGTGAGGCCCGCGGGGGGCTGTGCCCGCAGCTCCCCAGCAGTCAGTCCCTCCTCCGCTCCTCTGTGGGAACAGAGCGTGCCGGGACCAACCCCGTCCGCACGCCTGAGCCCCCAGGCCCGGCCTCCACCGGCCAGCGGACCCCGAGATGGGCAGTGGTGTGTCGCTGTCCGGTGATGCTGGGCGGCTGGTTACTATGGGCAGCTGGCCTGCTGGCTGTAGACCGGAGGGCCAGTAAAGGAGTTGCTTGTCTGCTTTATAGGTTATGGTGCTGAGTTCAAGCTGACTGGCTGATTGATAATAGTTTATAGGTTATGGTGCTGAGTTCAAGCTGACTGGCTGATTGATAATAGTTTTAGTGGCTCATTATGGGCTGGCCAGGAGTTTGGACATGGTCAGTTTGCGGGACATAAGTCAGTTGGCTTTGTACGGGTCGCATAGCTCTTTGGGGGTTAGATAGCCGTTGTGTTACTGTTTGGCTGGCTGCTGATGCTTGGGGGGGGCCGGTTATGGGCCGGCTGGCTGACTTCTGGAACTGACTGGAGGAAGTTCACTGCCTCTGCTTCGCCAGGCCTCCCCAGCCACTCCAGGAGTCCCCCACACAGAGTGGGCATGGTACTGCAGCAGCCCACACGAGCACAGCTGCAAAGCTGCCTCCCCTCCCCATCTCCTCCCCTCCCCTCGCGTCCCCTCTCCTCTCCTCTTCTATCTCCTCCCCTCCCCTCCCCTCCCCTGCTCTCTAGCTTCTATGGTTTCCAC